AACTTGGTGTTGAGTTGTAAACTTCCATCGCTAAAAGATAGAGTGTCCGTTTGAGATTTCAGCTTTCTCAGGGATTTTCTCTCAGCTTGATCCTCTTCCAACAGGACAACCATGACCTTGATTCAGTCACAAAAGACCACAGGAGTTAGTTTCAGTCACAGAAACTTTCATGTAGGAAGTCAAGAGCTGTTCCATTTTTAAAACTGTGAATGAGTAAAAAGAAAAAACCTGTGAGGCCGAGTGCAGAAATGCCGTCAGACGCTGCGAATCAAAGTTGATTTCACTTATGGTTTTGTCTCGTGCTTCCTGGGAGAGGTTCGGATCTATCAAAACAAAAACGCTGTTATTGAACTATACATAAAAAAGTTAATCTGAGAAAAATCTTAGCTTTTCCTTACCACCACAGGCTCCATTGTGCTCTGGAGGATGCTGTGTCCACTTCTCAAACACCTCTATCTCCTCTGTCTGGATGTCTCGGTCTGCATTGTCCTCATTACACTGAACGTAAGCCTGAAAAGGACGAAGTGTTCCCGTTACTCAGACATGGACAACAGCTACTTTTTACAGGAAGACATTGCATATTTTTGCCTTTCTCTTTTATAATTTGGTTACAGGCAGCTGTGTAAAGTAAAACAGACGACAGAAACAGAGACTGACCTGCTTAGTGTTTGCAGTTCCAAAGGTTCTAATGTACATGTCATATTCATTCACAGGTGGCAGATCCAAAAGGGAGAATGTCATCGAGAAATCCAGATCAATCAAGCGAAGGAGCTCCGTACTGCGTTTCCTGTGGTCAGAACAAAACACACATTGATGGAACGATCCAACTACTACGAGTATCCAATCATATCACAACCATCCATGTAACATGAAGATGTTTTCGCAAGTTAACTTACTTCTGTTTTGTGGCAACCTTCTTACTGACTTCACGCTGCTTTGCGGCCACAAAGTCGATAAACTTCCCACGCTGGGATGCTCTACTCTGGTTCCTTTCAGATCCTGTTAACAGAGCAGCAAAGATGCATTATATCCCAGCATTATAAAGACATAAAGAATATAATAACAATAATAATAATAATAATAATAATAATACAGTAAAAAAAAGAACTGTACCTCTGGACCACTTAGGCTCATCTTCCTCCTCTCTGTTTGTTAATTCTCTGGACTGAGCTGTTCCGACTCTCTCGTTCTCTTCATCCATGGCTCTCTGTATTGCTTCAATTTCCTTTCTCTTTTGTGCTGTAAGTTCCTCCCTTTCCTCGCCCACCTCTGGACGCTGTGGCTCCTTCTCATCCTCACCTTCATTTGAGCTCTCGTCCATCTCCTCAAAATCCTCCTCATAATCCTTTGAGCAGATCAATTCCGTCACTTATTACATATTAATGCAAAATACAAAAACAACCAAGATGCTATGAGCACAAACTTTATATCTTATAAGAATGAAAATTAGGGATGCACTGATACCGATATCATTTTCAATACTGAGCTCATACGCTTGTACTTATCCTTAATAATAAAACTGCTCCAATACTGCACCTGATACCACTTTACAGCAGTCTGACATTACGTAAGCTCTTGTTAGCTGAGCAGGTAGGTGGAGGAGAAAAGATATTTTAAGCAACTTTTACACCATTAGCAACATTTAATTTGCTAAGTATTAGAAAAAAATGAGGAAAATCTGATGAAAATAAAACATGTTTTTAAAGTCATTGTTAGAACAGTAATGGTATTATTAAGTGCTCTGCATTGACAAGCACCCAAATGGAAGTACGTCTGAAAGAGTGGTATCGGTGCATCCCCAATAAAAATGTACACACTCATAAAAAGCTCTGAATACTCACCAGTTTCTTAGAATGTAAATTGCATGCAAAAGTAACAGAAACGAAGTCAATAAATGTCAGAAAATGATGATGGAATGATGAGAAAAGTAAAAAAGCATTTGGTTAGGGTTAGTATTATTACCTCAAAGTCATCCTCATATTCCTGTTCAGCCGGATCTTCATCATTGACAACCTGCAGAATGTAGTAGAAAATATCTTAAATTTGTGTGAAGAAACTCTTTGGGATGATGCAGCACTACAGTGAAGCTGAAAGTACTGTAGAAGAAAAGGAGTGCACAGCATGCAGTGCAGACAGTGGATGGCTCACAAGATCAATTCACCTGCAGTCAGTTCAAGCTTATTTATACCAGTTTCAGCTCATAACTTTATATACGCGGCAGCTGCAGCATGAGCTAAAATATGGTTTGCTTTCATGCAAGTAAAGGAATCGTAGCTGTGGGTTCAAACTCCATTGTAACTGGCATGAAAAAATATATTGTTTATGTTCAGCCAGTAACTAATGGGAGTAAGAAAAATGCAGCACCACCAAACTAAAAGCAAAAGTGCCCACAGCAAAGTAAGCACGCATCTTACAGGCTCCTCTGTGTCTCCTGCATCTTTCACACTAGCTGTCCAGTCTTCAGACACTTTTGCTACATCCTGCATCACAAAAATGACACATGGAGGAAAAAGCCACGCAATCCGTTAGGGAACTAAAAACAGAAAATAAAAGGAGCTACAGGTTTCAGTAAACAGGCAACTTATAGACATACAAACCTCAGTTTTAGTCTCATGTCTTTGACTTTTGTCAGACAGAGATTTCCTAGAGCTCTCCCTGTCTCTGTGATGATTTCTGTCTCCTTCCTCCTCCTCTCTGTGCTTTCTCTCTTTGTGTTTGTCCCCTTCAGCTCGCTCTCTGTCACCACGATGATGCCTGACCTCTTCACCTGACCCCTTCGAGTCTCGCTGCCCTCTGGATTCACTGTCATGCTTCCGCTTTTCATCCTGGAGAGCAGCGAAATCCACACAAGGTTAAAACGATGATACATCAACCCATGAAGATGTGGGATATCAGCACAATGTTAATATTACTGCGGATGCTTACAGGATGTCCTCTCTCTTTGTGCCGTCTCTCTCTCTCTTCTTTATGTCTTCTATGTTCTTCTTTGTGCTCTGAAATAAGAAAGATATCAATGTTGACCCCATAAGGAAATACACAGTAGTACACACGGATGTGGCCTTACCTCTTTCCTCCTTCGGTTCCAAATGCTTCCGGTCTCCGTGTCTCTCTCGTCTTTCTTTGTCATTCTTCTTGTCTTCATGTTCATCTTTGTGTCGGTCTTTCTCTCTATGCCGATCTCTCTTCTCTCTTTCATGCTTTTCTAATCGATCTCTTTCTCCCTCTTCGCTTTCCCCGTGTCTCCTTCTCTCCCTCTCTCTGTGCTCTCTGTCCCGTTCTTCTCTCCTTCTTTCCTTGTCTCTCTCTTCCCTCCTTTTGTCCCTGTACTCCTCGTTGCGTCTCTCCTTGTCCCTTTCCCTCTCTTTCTCCTTATCCCTCTCTCTGTCCCTTTCCCTCTCTTTCTCCTTATCTCTGTGTCTTTCCTTGTCCTTCTCCCTTTCATGCTTTTCCTCCCTATCTCGCCTCCGGTCTCTGCTCTCCTTGTAATCATCGTCGTACCTCTTCCCATCTACCAACTTGTCCCTTTCCCTTCTTTTCTCCCTGTCCCTCTCATCTCTTCTATCCCTCTCCTTATCGCCTCTCCTATCCCGGGAGCCCTCTTTTCGCAGATCTGCATGTCTGTCTCTCTCGTCTTCATCTCGTCTCTCCCTCGTGCTCTCCCTGTGCTTGTCTCTCTCTCGCCTGGACTCCTTCTCTGGGTCTCTGCGGCGTCTCTCTATGGACTCTCCTCCCCGAGGCTTTCTCTCATCAACACGCCCTTCTTCCTAAGAAATGAGACAATAAAACCTTTTACGGGTGTGATTTTGCCTGTTGATATAAATCCAGCCTCAATCACCTCCTCCTGCAATGTTTTCCTAAACTCTCAGAAACTTACCCTGATGTGTCTCCTCAGGTCAGCTGGTCTCCATGTGTCTTCCTTGGTCATTTTCTAGATAAATAGGTTTATAAGTTCACTGGACGCCCATATCATTTAAAGACAACATACACTATGTTTATGACATCAAAACAACTCAATGCCAAAAAGCAATTCAACGTTAATTTCTTAAGATAACTAACGTCTGATGATTACAATGGCGGACATGACATTATCTACTGAATATACATTTCCCAGCTTTAGTCCGCAGACGGTAAAGTCAAAGATAAAGCAGTTACCTTGTCGCTATGCATGTTCTCATCTGTGTTTTTATTTCTGAAGTCTCTCAGTCGCCGAAAATTAGCTCGTATTTTCGTAACGACTCCGCCATGATGCTAAATCGCTAGTGCGCAAGCGCAGTTTGTCGAAACCAAGGAGATCGCGTCACTTCAGCTTGACAACAGGCTTGTTAATCAGCAACAGAGCAATCCCTGGAATCAACAGCCAGTTGCCGTAGCAACCGTCAACGACTTTATTACCAAACGTGTCTAAAAGACCACATGAAAATGTTTTAATGTTCTTTAAACGATTATAACTATTGACACGAACACCGCTGCTGTTGCTGGTTGTGTTTAGGTTCATTTTTTAATGTTTGCTGCGCATAAAACGAGTCTGTTGATCGATTTCTCTGTGCTCGGCATTATACACCCGTTCCTGACTTAACGGCTCTCGGCGTTTGATAGCTTGTTAGTAAGATCGATAAATGTATAAGGAAGGCCAGACATGCCGGAATATAATTTATTCTAGCCCCATTTTTTCGGGGTTTTCTTTTTGATTCCATCTATGTTTGAAAAAAGGAAAGTTGTTTTGATATAATAATAATAATTAAAAAAAAAAAAAAAAAGATATATTTGAAATAATAATAAATAAACAAACACATACATATTTTATCGGGATCGAACAAATTCAATGTGTTTATTTTCTTCCATATATTTTAATTTAATAGTAGTTATTCCCACATGTCCTTGACGTGAGGAGTAGTATTACCGCTGTATGTAACTCCCTGCTGTGTTTACCGCCACTGACCACCAGGTGGAGGTGTTTCTCCTCTTTAGCTCAGGTTACAGGCTCCACTGAGAGCGCACGGAGCAGGATCTCTGCGCGGTTTTTTTTTTTTTTGGGAAAATGATCATTTCTGCCCTGTGTGGAGACAGAGAGGAGTAACAGCCGTGGATCTTGGACTTGCTCAGCTGCCCATTTTAACCAAAAGGGGGATGAATTATCAAGCTTTTAATCGCTACGGAAACTAAAGTGGTCAATGCCAACGATTCCTCCGAGGGCGATGGGTTGGTGTGCAGGTGAGCCAACGTGAGAGTCCGCTTCAGGAACCGCGTCGGTCCGGTGGCACATGGGAACCGTGTGTCACCCCAAGCCTCATCCGCATTTTTTTTAAATATCAGTTTTAAAAGACGGACTCCGGAGCGCAGACAGACATGTCTAGAGACAGCATGACGGATGTACGAGGAGCCCATTCACACAGTGCTTCACCTAAGGAGAATGGACACACCGTGGCGAGCCCCGTTCAACCCAACTTTCCCCCTCCCTCAGCGGGGAACGTACCCGAAGACACCCCGGTGTCCTCCACAAGCGAGCTGACCCAGACCTGGGTGCACCTCGCCAAAACGTTTGTTCTCATTTTCCCCATTTACGCGCTGGGATATTTTGAGTTCAGCTTCAGCTGGCTGCTGATCGGACTTGTTATCGTTTTCTGGTGGAGGAGAAACACAGGAGGGAAGCACAGCCGCCTGAACAGAGCTCTGGCTTTCTTTGAGCAAGAGGAGAGAAGTGTCAAGCAGAGTCTGACCACCTCTGATTTACCACCATGGGTAAGAACACACACTGTGACATACAGTGGATTAAATGAGGTCCAGAGCATTTTGGTGTTATTGTGATCAGTATTTTTGAGTTTCCAGGAAAAGAAATGAAGCAGGAGGAGCAGAGTTGAGCTGTAAAGCTGTGATGGAGCAGCTGTTCTCCCCCCCTTACACCCCAGCAGCAGTGACATTAGTCCCAGTCTAAATACAGCAGGGCACAATGGTAAACCAGACACCACGCTGGAAAGGAAACATGCCCACAGGGTCCCTGTTATTTTGGGATCCGGACTGCAATCTCTCGCAGTCACTCACTCTGTTACTGCAAGACTTGTTAGATAACTCTGTGGTTCTTGACTTCTCCTCGTCAGGGTTAACTGAAACCTCCCTCAAAGACCACCAGTGTGTAATCAGTGAGGCAGCATAGGCTGAATTTACCCAATAATAACACCATAATACATCATATTTTAGTCACAGGATTAACTGGACTGCACTGTTTCCCCCCAAAATGAGTCATTTTTGTCACATAGCCGTGTGTTATATGACTTTTCTCCAGCACTGTGAGAGAGGTTTGGAAGACACCATGTAATCCATGTTGTTAACATGCTGTCTCGAGGGAGCTGGATTAGAGCACTAAGGGAAAACATGTCACACTAAATGCCTTTTCTTTTTTTGTTAGAGTAAATGAATGCACTTTCCCTTTACGAATGTCATTTAAAGCCCATATTTCTACTGGAAAGTCAAACAGACAGAAATTGACTGACTTCAGGACCAGATTATCTCAGGAAAACTGTTTAAATTGCATTTAATCGAGCGCAATCCGACAACAAAATACGGCCTCAAGTTTCAGCTAAACCATAACTCCAACACTTTTCGACACCAGACTCATCCCTTCACTCATAACTCAACTGGTTTGTGGTGTGCAGCTGAAAACTTAGCTGGAAGCTTATTTTGCTGACACATGGCTAAGGAGGCATCGAGGCTATTAAATGGGGATGGAGGAGCTAGATGAGGGAGAGCAACAGCATCCCACTTAGAGGAGGGGAAAAAAGGCCTTATTGGATGGCCTCAGCACCCTGCGGGGTTGATGGAACAAACTGCAAGTCGAGCATTAATGTGTAATCCTGGTCATATCATGTGTGGCTGTGCTTGAGCATCGCTGGGAATCTCAATCACACCTTTTCTGAGGCTTTTAGTGAATAGCTGAGCACATATCACCTCATCGACACTGCCCTGTCATCAGGGATGGAGATTTTCAGCGGTTTTGGCTCGTAAATCTCACCTAGTGCTTGTTTCTTCTTCCCCCCTCACTGAGAGTGTTAGTAGACATGTCACTGCTTTCACAGAAAAAAGGTTTTCTTTTTTTTTGTTGTTGTTAAGTGGCCCCTTTTCCAAACTTCTGTTGCTGAATTGAAGCCCTCCTTGTTCCTGTTCTACCCTCAGCTGTGCTCATCCAGAGTGAGTCATTGGCTGGCTGGTGGAGCAGCTACTTATACTAAAAGTAATGTTGGAGGTCTTTAGTTTAATTCACACAGGAATAAAAAAAACTGCTGCTATATTTATTATTTTATGTTTTTTTGGTCTGCTTTAGGCATCAAAACGGTTCCATCTAGGCCCTTTTTCTATCATTCAGTGACCGGACAACCGCTGATTAAGTGACGTATTTTAGGGATATTTCATATTAAATTCGACACATAACAATAACAGTAACAGAACGAGTGATAAACTGTACAGTGAACCACAATAACTGCAGGAAGTTTGTGTAAAACGAGCGATTTGGATGAATTCTGAGCAGATTATTCCCTGAGAATATTGATTAGAGATGAGTTTTCCTGATTTATACAGCTCTTCTGTCTGTATTATGCATTTTAAACCAATCATATATACTTAATAGGCTTCTTATTTGACTAATTTAGTGTTTTCTTCTCCCTTAAACTGAAGACTAGCTTGTTTTCAGGTTTTGTTTTTAAGTTTATATCTACTATCTTCTTCTTATATCGCAATTTATTCTTTAAAATAAATGTATCTTTCCTCACATACAGAAATGAAATGCTCAGATATAAACCTGTTGTATGTTTAAAAAATAACTACTACAACTTATATAATTATGTAAAAAGGCTTCTTTAAAACATAATACGATTCGGAAAAGGATTAGAAAATGACAAAGTAATAAAAGCCACTATTCATCATCAATCTTACAATTAAATTATACGTAGAATATTACATATGTAATTGTTTTAATGACACCTGGGACATACGCAGTAGTAAAGAAAGAGGCCAATATGCTGCTTTACAAGCTTGATTTCAGGTTTGATTTCAAGTGTGATGTTTAGAGGAGTCATACAACACAGGACAAGATAGATGAGATAAGATGTAACTTTATTGATCCCCCCCGTAAGAGAAATTCAAGTTAGACACAGCAGCATAGGGAAATGTAGTACAAAGAGCACAGAAGTGAAAGACAAGTTTTAAAGGTCAGCATCATGTGTCTGAAATCAGGAGATTCCACGTGTCTGCTGTATCTCTGAATGTACTGCTTTTGTGCTTTCTCAAGATATAAATATGATTCCTCTTTAACTATATAATATCCAGTTAATAACAAGTTTGTATATCGAGTTTGTCCTGATTACTTTCCAGACTTGGTGTGTTAATTTCAGGCAGTTTGAACTCAGGGAGATTAATCCTACAGTTTCAGCAAAAAACACTAATTACCCTCTCAAGCTGGAACGACAACCCAGCGACGGGATGAATAATTAAGATGCTTTTCTCCCACTCTCTGCTCTACATCTCAGTTTTCTCATCCAGCGCTTTAAAACACATCCTTTTTGAGTATATCATCCATTACTTCACCTACATTTTCTGAATAAGGTCACTGTGTCAGCTGTAATGACGAAGCCTTGCGTCTCTTTCCAGAGGTTTACATTATTTCCACCTCAAACTACAGGCCTGAATCTGTCACATTAACTAGAAGTTTCTGTTCCCCGTCTTCCTGCTCTTGTCACTGCTTTATCCACACGATGACATAAACGCTGGATAAGCACTTTATGCTGCCTCCATTAGGAATAGTGCTGTCCCTTGTAGCTGTCATATCTCACCAGCACTCCAGCCTGAAGCGTCACTTCATCTTACTGTTGAGATTAGGGAATAAACGACTTCAATTCAGCTTGATGGAAAGCCAGGGTTGTTTATCTGTTGTTTATTAAGGTCGGTGTGTGTGCATTGCTGCGCTCCTTTGTGCGTTGTATTGACTAGACATTTCCTTTACCTCATGTTAAATCAATGCCCAATTTGCTTTGGTCTTTCAGTAGGATTAGTCAAACCACAGCCGTGGAGATTTGTGGCTTTCTAATTTTACCTGTGAATTCAAAAGCACTGGACAAATAATGCAAATAACACAAATGCACTTTTATCGCATTCAAATGTGAAGAGAAATACAAATTTAAGCTTTGCACTGATAACAGACAGAAGATGAAGGTAAAAGAAAGGTCATGTGATCAATGCATCCTTCAGGTAGAAATAAAAACTGTGGAATATTTCAGTGACCTTTTCTTGAATGTCTTTTTCATCTTCTCTTTACCTTCATCTTCTTTCTTTTATATCAAGCAACCACTCTATCTCAGAGAGAGCTGCTGCAACAAATGGTCTCATGCATGGAAACCCAATAGAAACACGCCCCGCTCTCTCTTCTTTGAATTGTTTTTTTTGTAGTGATGGTGTGATCAAACGGCCGTATTGCTATAGCTGTGTAGAATTCCATCTTTGTTTTTAATGTTTTGAACGCTCGAGGGAGAAGACAAGAGTCATCTTCAAGCTTTTGCTTCTCTGTGTAGCAGAATAACAACCCGATAGCTTTTCAAAAATAGAACTTGACATTGGGGTTTGGAAAGGTGATTAAATTTACAGGTTTGCACTACGTACAACAGCAGTTTTAAACTTTGATTGAACTGGAGTTGAGTAACAAAGCTGTCTGGGTGAATTTCCATTGTAGAATTTGGTTTTTATCCACGCTATAGCGGCGTGGCTCTATGGATATGTGCTATCCACTATCCACACATCAACTACAGCCTGCAGTGAAATTCAGTGCAGATATTTAAGGCACCTCGAAGATGATTCCTACTGACTTTGGTGATCCCCTTACATTTTCATTTGGTGCCATCATCAGGCCTATCTTTCACTTTTGTTTATGACCAACAAAACATTCCCATCAGCCTCTGCTGTACTACGTGTTTAACTCTAATCAGCAAATATTAGTGCTGACACGTTTAAACCACAACTGTGACCATGATAAACATTTTACCTGCTGCACATCCGCTTGTTAGCATTGTCATTATGAACATGTTGCCATGGTGACATTAGCAAAAAGCACAGCTGTGCCAAATTACAGCCGCACAGAGCTGCTAGTATGGCTGTAGACTTTTTGTTGTAATGATGGTGTAATAAAACTGTATTGCGTGTGCATAACTCGCCTTTAAACATTTATCAGCATCATCATCAAACTTTGTTGGAATATGTTCGAGAGAAATGTGACAAACAGGCTTTTCCTGAGGAGCAGCTTTGAAAGCTTTTCAAAGGAAAAAAAGATTTAGTTCAGGATAAGGGATTCACTTTAAATTTGTACTACTTGGAAATAGTTTGTAAGGGAATAGATGAGGGCTCATTTCACTTTTGGTTTTCATCAGGACGATTCTGCTCCTTAGTGGTTGCTTTTTAAACTGAAAGAAAAATGACAATAAAAAATGACATTTCAGTGCAAGCTTTCAATTTTACTGATCGATAGGATTATCAAACATACAATATAAAGTTAGATTGCCTGTGTAACACATCTCATCACATATAGTATATGTGGAACTTGCCTTTAAAGATGCTGCATTATCAGCCTTATAGAAACCGTCATAGACTTGAGATTATCTGCTCTGTTTTCTCCATTGTAGGTTCACTTCCCAGACGTGGAGCGAGTGGAGTGGCTAAACAAGGTAAAGAATTGAGCGACTGTCTCTTGAATTTGTTTGCTTGAGCGAAGCCCTCCTTCCTGCTTTTTATAAACTGGAGTAAATGGGATGTCTGTGGCTCCTCTTCCCACTGGAGCTGTGGATGCTGCCACAGTGTACACTGCAGCACATCTGACTAAAACATGCAGCCCTGTTTCCACCGTGCGGTGAAATGCATTTACCCCTGTGAATCCCCATGGCAACAACTTGGATGTACATTTTAAAGCACCCATGAGTATACATTTAAATGATATAGACGCTGACATCGACATTTTATTTTGGTCCCTGCTTGATGTGTAGGAGTCTGACTTAAATAGAACTACATTTTGAATATTTTAAAGCAGAGGTGCCCCAAAACTGAACCTTAATGGTGGGCCACGTATTGTTAAGACAATGGTACTAGTATGTGTATGTATTTGTGTGTGTGTTTTTTAATGGGTGTGAATGTAAGTAAGAAGTCATTTAACAAATAATAACACTAATAATTGATAGTAACCAAAGATAATTAGGTTCTATTCTAATCTCTGTTTCCACTGGTTGTTCTCAAGTCATGGCATGAGGAGATTATTCCACATTTGGGTATTTCCCAATAAATAGGGGAGTTTCTGTATATCTGCAGTATTTTGAATCCAATTTCAGGGTGTTTTTGTTCATAATTGAAAGTTAATCCTCTCTTAAAGATGTATATTTTGTGCATGAGGTGAGTCAGTGTAGCTCTGTCTCTACCTGTCCTCACACTGGGAGTTTTTCTTCCTCTGGTAGCGAGCTCTATGGTGAGATTGTGCACACTCAGTCTGTACATAGTTAAGACTTCTCTCAAATTAGTACTTTTTAATTGTGGTCAGATAATTTGCTAATGTGTATTCTCTGTTTAGGGCCAGACAAGGGCCTGATTGGATTGCTTCTTTCTGTATCCCCTCAGACAGTGAAGCAGATGTGGCCCTATATCTGCCAGTTTGTGGACAAACTCTTCCACGAGACGATCGAGCCGGCTGTGAAGGAGTCCAACTCCCACCTCAGCACCTTCTGCTTCAGCAAGATCGACATAGGAGACAAAGTGAGCACCTCCTAGTGTTCCTGCATGGTTCTTAGGCCGATCATGTGTTGTTTCAGCAGTGACAAAACAGACTACTGGCAGCAGGTGCCGCTGGGACAGCTGGTGAGGGTGTGTAAGCTTGAACGTGAATATACATGTACACCGCTGACATATGTGCTTGTTTCATAAATAGTTTCCATGTGGGGTCACGAGAGGGGTCGACCTTGTGCTAACCACGTGGGGGTTTAGTGGGGTTGGAGGTGTTGGTGTTGTGTTGATGGACTGGAGTGGCGCAGTGGCCATAATGTTTCCCTATGTTGTGGTGTAGCCCCTCAGGGTCAACGGGGTCAAGGTCTATACAGAAAATGTGGATAAGCGACAAATCATCATGGACCTACAGATCAGGTGAGCCCATCAGATCTCCATTTAAGTTATTACTGTTTTACCTCTGTAGCTTCTTTCTGATCGTGGTTTAAAAGGTTTCTACAGATCGTGTGCTGAATGATTAAAATATCTCCATGACGACAATGAATAAAACATGGAGTCACTATGGTGTCTACATTTAATCAATGTCATGCCTTATCCTACCAAAGAAGACTTTGAAAGTCCTTTTAAAGATGATGAAAAAATGAAGGAACCCTGGTGCAGGATTTGTCTCAGACATATTTTGTGTTTTTGTCACGCAGCTTTGTTGGTAACACCGAGATTGACGTGGACATCAAACGCTACTACTGCAAAGCTGGCATTAAGAGCATCCAGGTAAGGATATGTCCTTATTGTCTGGTTTGTTTCATGTCCTCACAGACGTACTTTCCTTTGGCATGAGTCTTGGCCTCTACAATGGTTGTCAGAAAAGGATAACGAAGTATTGGATATAAAGTGGCACAGTGACTTTAGGTAAAGGTCTGTCCTGTCGGCTCCAATCTGAGAGGATTTTTCCAGTAATGGATGAACAGCAGCTTTTTTGTACAGCAGGCTGCTGAATGTAGTTGGACAGGAGCTTTTATTTCTTATTATTTCCGTGCAGTGATGTCAATTAAATATTTGCATATATAAAGCTTTCAGTATGAGACGCTGGTATGAAAGCACAAATTACTTGTTCTGTGTCTACTGAGGAAGCTTTTATAACTCAAGGCCCCTTCAAAATAAAACAATGCCTTCTTGCAACCCTCTGTCACAGGTTGCATACGTCTAAACGTTGTGAACGGTTCGACCAAAGTCATTTTCTCCTCTGATTGTTTAATTTGAGATAATAATGAAGAGGTACAACTCTTCAAATCTGAAAAAATTACTTAGTTTTGTACTGCAGACATATTTTCTGTCTACCTTCCTCTCGTATTTATTGTCTTGCAACCCCCTTTAGATTTATTATAAGACCCCTTGGGTGGGTCTGTAGTTGGGAACTTCTCTTCAGAACTATAAATATAATCAAATACAACAGTGGTTTAAGATTTAACGAAACAAAAACAGAAACATAATACAAAAGGAGACAGTAAAGAATCATTATAGAAAGGTTTTACTGTCCAAGTTAACTTTTTACTGTAAAGATTATAAATATCAGACTAGACTGACCCCCTCCTCTATAAAATGTATCTATTAATATCCTTGAGAAGACTCCCCTGCTCTCTCTGTAGTGCCTGACTATATAAGTGTGTGTATTATTGTTCTTGCATGTCCTTGACCCTTCTGTGTGTTGCTGCAGTGGAACAAAGCAGGCAGCAAAAACAATCAGTGCGCCTCCTTGGAGACCGAGTGCTGTTAGGTCTGTCCCTGGGAGACATTTGTTGCTCCCATTATGTAACTCAGGCAGACCTACATATCTCCCCAGCTCATTATCAGCCACTAATACATTAGTCCCATCACTCCTTGAGCTGGTTTACATTACACAGAGCAGGTGCGTTCGACTCCCTGATAGCTCTGAGATTACTGGTGGCTTTGTGTGGAGTGGGGTTAAACACTGGCTGATATTGGGCTTTTATCATTTATTTAATATCAGCCTGTCGCGTGGTCCCACTTCTATGATGGAGGTCCACTCCTCAACTGCAGCTACTGTGCATAAAAGGCCTGTTAAACCTGCAAATGAGTTGTATTTTCTGATTGATACCAAGTTGCAGTCATTTTAGAAGATGAATTCATTATATGAGATCCATTAACTGTCCTTTTTTTGGCGTACGTCACCCTGCTTTTAAGACACTGTTGGTGCTAAATACAGATAAATCAATACTTGGAATAAATTTGTAACACCGTTTCCTAAAGCAGGAACACACAGAAAAGATGCATGACTGTATAATTACATTGGGATTTAAGATTTTTGTGTGAATTCTTGCATTTAAAATGAGGCTTTAAGTCTTGCTCGTACCACTTAGAGTCAAGGATATGAAATTCATTTTAGATTCCTGGCTAACTGTCTGTGTCATTTTCTAAGACGCTGATTTAATCTGGTGGATGACAAAGTGAAGGATCAGTTCCACAGTTTTTAGTTCCAGGAAATAACAAATCAAATTTACTTTGTCACAGAAATTACATGAAGTCTTAAAATGAAAGCGATTATATTTGCTTCCAAGAGCTGCATGCAAACAATAAAAGAGCTTTATTAGTATTGGTTTCAGGAGCATTATTGGTATTAGTTCCATTAGTATTGGGCTCACTGGCATAATAGCTGTTTCAGAGGTCAATATTTTCTTATTATCCATCCTGAAAATACAAATATAGCCTCAAAACAAATATATTGGTGCTAGAATTTAAACAACCTTTGTTCCCTGGTGTGGATTAGAGCAGCTGTGTGGTGTCCACATGACACTCGTAAAGCACTTCCAATACCATAATCCCCGTAATTGTCATAATATGTTATGGAGAAGGTGGAGGATGACACAGGGGCAGGTGTGAAGTCGGGCTCTGATCGAGTTTCCAACCTGTCATGTGCTACAGCTAACGGCACCACCGCTGAGGAATGTCAAGGGCCAGCAAGGCGCGAGTCCCCTTTAGCTCCCTCTTTTTGTGTATGTATGTCAATGTGTTCCTCTTGTGTTTCCATAGATACACGGCGTGTTGAGAGTGGTGATGGAGCCACTGCTGGGTGACATGCCTCTTGTCGGAGCTCTGTCTGTGTTCTTCCTCAAGAAACCAGTAAGTCCAGACGCTGATAAGAGTTAATCCAATTAAACTTGTTTAATGGAGCGGCAGTGGAAGTTGTAATGACACCGCAGTCTGAATAAATGCCTTGTGATCAGAGCAGATTCTATTAAACTGGGATTAGTATGTTGAAATACCAAACTAGATATCTCATAAATCTTTTTCCAGCACCTGAGATGGCACAGCAGTGTTACACATTCAGGGTTCTACTGTTATTTTACATGGCATTTGAAAATAATGAGGACATTTTACACTGCTTTCTTTTCGGTTCCCTATTCACTATTTTTTGAAGAGTTTGGCCCCATTTCTGTCCTCAATATCTTTAATACCCCAGTTTGGTTCTCTGTGTATTTTATATTCTCAGTAAATTTTGTAATATCGCAGCTCATAAAACGAATTGCTCCTTGGTTTTTTTGCTTTGCTAATCTCTTTTCCTCATTGAGGCAGAAATAATGGGCGTAGATTGGACTTTAAATGTTAATTTCACAAGTCAAATGTGTTTCTTAATTCATCTTCATTTTACAGCCCAAACTTCCAGTTTAATTTCAGTTTGTTTTCCTTCTGTGGCATTGCCAGTGGCACTGCCGCCTATCCTCTTGCAGCTCTCTAAATCACTTTACACAATTTGCATTTCACATTGCCAGTTGTTTGCATTTTCCAGCGCACATTTGTCAATCTGCTTGTACAACCCGTGTGCACAGCCACTGCTGCACAGCTTAAAAATGTTTGACCGATTTATTCCAAATGGGAGGACCCGGTGGAACTACAGCAGAGCTTTAAATAGCTGCAGATCAAGCCAGCCCTACTTTGGCAGATTTCTCTACCCCAGGCACTCAGCTAAAGCTCAAGGTGGACATATTACTGTAGGAGGCTGAATCCAGTAAATCATGTTGCAGTCCCACATGTATACAGCCAGTCTTCTTCTTGCTTCTCACCTAGGAACATTACACTGTTATACTGGAAGAAAGAAAATAAAATCCAAAAGCAATTTCTTGTGGGCAAAAAAAAATCACAACGTTATGTATCCAAGAATCCAAATAACTCAGCGTGCTTCTTTCAGCGTGCCATACAAGGCCTGAACCTGGCTGCCAAATAAAACACAAACATTTCCAGACCATAAGAGGTCTTGGATACAGTGGCACTGTGTGATCTCAGCAATGTGAGCCAGTGCAATGTAAATAAAAAGATGTTACACATTCTGCTGTGGGACCTCTACAGAAATGTTATTGCTCAGGCTCAGTTAGGAAGTCTCACACTTTGAACGATATATTGTGAACACGTGGTTCTTTACAATATCCACTAACGTACGGACTGATTAAAGGCCCAGTGTGTAGCGTTTAGAAGAATCTATTGGCGGGTCACCTTCCACGGAGTCCGCCATGTTGAACCGCCTTGTTTCTGCAGTAGCCCAGAGTGGACAAACCAAAAACCGGCTCTAGATGGGGCTGTTTTGTAGCCACTGTAGTTGATCCTCCGTGCTTGGAAGGTGAGGGTGAAGCAAGGGATCTGCAATTACCCCACATTACGCATGCCACTAAATCCTACCCACTGGACCTTTAATAGATGGAATTTGTTGATCTATTTTTTGATTAATCAGTGAATCTTTAGGCTGCTACATGTCCACAATAATGACAAAACTGATGTCTTAAAGGAGTAGTTGAGATTTGGGTAATAGTAAAAGAATCATTTATCCAAAAACATTTCAGTTTCCCAGCTTTGGGTGCTTTTCTCAGTTTGATATCATTCTCAATTAATAGGATAAATCAATCATTACTGTTATTTTTTAATCAACTGACTGATTTAGTGTTTGATTATTTCTTGCTTGATTGCAGGCAAAGTTTTATTTTTTGGAAGATAGTGCTGTTTTTTTATTCATTACCTCATTGTTACCCAAATATAAGTCTTTTGAGATCTCCAGAGAAGCGATTTGGAGGCAGGGGTGTGTCCCTGCACACACCACATTCCCACACCACTCAGACATCCCCATCACATCATTCAGAGCCCTGCAGTACTCCCCTCTCCCCTGCGGCGCTCGGCGTATCTGCTGCAGTGTAAGCAAATCGGGCAGAGAAGTAGGGTGGGAAAGACTCATTAAGAAAACACAGCTACTTCAGCTTAGAGGCAGAAACAGATCAAAGCACACTGAGAGGATCTGCCTGCACTTCAGGTCTCAGCCGACGCTTTCCACTCTTACTTTTTTATCATTCTTCTTCCCTTTCTCTTGTCCAGATGCGATACACCTTCTGCCACTTTTACCCAGAAACTGAATGGAAATTGAATGGTTCTGTGTCAGTTTTTGACTGTAGAATAATTTGTGAAAACTGGTACTTTGGACCATGGAAACATTCACTGTCCCTGACCTCATTATACACTGAAAACTAATGAGACCCCAGAGGTTTTTTGTTGCTTTTATAAATATTTTAGTAAGAAGGTGTTTTGTATTTATTTCCATTGATGGATCGGTGCTTTCTGTCTTATTGGGACTCATAGACTGTTGCTAATTGTGCACACAGCATCCATTTAAACATTTAGAGGGTAATGGGTAAGGAAACTTACGGTAAAAACAGTAAGCTTAAACATAAGAAAAGGCTGTTGTTTTATTTACATTTCATTGCCAAACTGGTGTGCATTGGGAAAACTACCACCCAGACCCAGTCACATTTTTCTTAAATAATTGATAGGGAAACAATATAGTAGCTGAAGGAGTGCTTTGTTTTCAAAATGGTGCAAGACAGTGGCAACTTATCCACAGAACGTTTGATTTATATTATTTTACTGCAACTTGTGTAGGACTCTTTGTTATTAATCAGCAGGGTTTGTTGGCCAGAAAATAAGAAGCAAAGTCGTAAATGTAGCTCAGAGGGCAGGAAACAAGTTAAGTGTTTGGATTAATTTAAATTCATTCACGCTCTCTACTCTCACAGCTTGATCAACTTGTATGTTCTCTTTTCTTATTTTCTTTTAGCTTCTGGACATAAACTGGACTGGCCTCACCAATATACTTGACATTCCTGGTCTCAAGTGAGTCTGCTGAAGCTTTCTTTTCGTGCCTATCAAGAAATGTCTTTGTTGGTGCCTGATTATCAAGTTTCAAGGGACAATAACTTATTATGCACCTGATATCTGATCTCTGGGTGTATTTCCACTGGTGCTGTTCCAGCAAATTCCATCAAATGTACCGAAAGTATTTTCTGCTTTATGAGCGTTTCCTTTCCTGCTAGATGCCTGGGTGTCCTTTTCCTTGTTACCGTTGTGGCATGCAGTACATTTAGATGCTCACATTACTGTGAATAATCAAAATAACATCATAGTTTAACAGTCTAGGTGAGCAAAACAGATCAGATCAGGAAATGTGCTGTTTGTGGCCTGTTTCCTCCTTCTGCCGTATTTTGTCTCACTAATATTAAGTGTCTTTTACCCTCGGGCAGTTGTGTGAGCTGAGCAGAGAGTAAATGAGAGTCGATTAAGAGTTGGTAAGAGCTCAACCCAATTACTCACGGCTGTCTTGAGTGGTTCCTACATTATTTACGCCTCAAATAAAGTCACAGACGCTTGAATGCCGCGTGTGATTTTCTGGGATTACAGCTGGTTGTCACATACCCTGCTGATGTGGGCAGACATGTTGACACAGGCAGTTGCCCGCTCTCCATCAGCTCTTCTGCTGAATCCTCTGTGGGGGTGAAATGGATCCATGCCGCTTGTGCAATGCAATATATGTGTGTCTGTGCACGTGTGTCTGTGTGTGTGGGTGTGTTGGTTTTGCAGGAAAGGGGGGGCACGTGCAGAAAAAGAGGGGTTAGCTGGTGAAGTAGAGATCCACATGGTGAAATTGTAGCTGCAGTGAGAGAGTTCCTTGAATGCAGCAGCAGCAGACAGACAGCATCAGCTGTCTACTTGAAGGCTCGCCCAGTGTGCCTCTCTCAAACCCTGTCATTATTATTATGCAACAAATTGTTTACATGTTGTAATATGTCATTGCTGTTGAGTTGGTTTTAGAATCAAAACAAGACTAATAGAGTACAGCTGCTGTCAGGGCTGCAGCAGCTAGGGCTGTACCTAGCAACATGCTAATGCTAGCATGCTCACAATGACCATGCCAACGTGCTGATGTTCAGCAGGTATGTGTTTAACATGTTCGCCATCTTGGGTTAGTGTGTTAATATTTAATAATTAGCACTAAATAGAAAGTACAGCTGAGGCTGATGAGAACGTCATTAGTTCTGTTGGTATTTGGTCATATACCAGTTAAATTGTGACCTGATGGTGGCGTTAGAGTAGAAATCAGGGGAGTTCATCCTCTGGGGACTACGAATGTCGGTAGAAAGTTTTGTGTAAATCCATTCACTGGATGTTGAGATATTTTACTGGATAAGTGAAAACTGGGATCATAAATGGTAATTCATCCAGTAGCTTTTGCAAAGTGGCGGACTGACAAAACCACATTACAAAAACACTGCTGTCTGTCAGATGATGATAGGAATGTGTATTTGATGTGGCTCACACATAAATAAAGCACACAGTACCATACTGCACATTCTGTTTATTATAAAGTCTGAGTGTGCAGTTTGCAGCACTGTTGTCCTGAAATGACTGAATAAACAGTCTCAGTTGTGTTACTGTGCATGCACACACACACACACACACACACACACACACACACACACACACACACACACACACACACACACAGGTACGTGGGGGTGTTCCTAGTGTTTACGCTAGGGGAACAACAAACATGCAGCAATATGCGCTGATGCAGCAGGAATCCCTTTACACCCTCAGCTCTCAGTTTGGAGAAAAGCTCTGGCGCTGATCTGTCCCCCTCCGGAAAATCGTAATCGGCTCACAGAGAAGAGCCGTAGCCTGCCGCTTCACTGGAAGATAAGTTCAGGATTGATCAAACGAATGTTTCCTCTGGCTCCAGCAACAAACAAAAGCAGTTAATTGAGTTAATTTCATTGGTGTCTTTGTCAGAACAGATGGTGTTTTTTTTATAGTAGCAAAGGAAGGTTTCTGTTTTTAAAGGAATTTTGGAGTATATCTTTATTGTCCACCGGGGTGGGAATTCGTCTCTGGATCACCAAATCGAGATACAACATCATATAAAACCGACAAGCAGTTAAAACAATTAAAACAAGCTCATACGAGGTCACATTACACATTCAGAAACTGTTCATTGCCTGTGGCTTAAATCTCATTAACTGGTGGTTTTGCAGGACAGTCACCTTTATGACCAGAATATATTGCAAGGTTGTAATTAACTGGAGGCATTCAGAAAAATATTGGAACTGATTCACAACCTTGACTGTATCATCTTGAACAACACATACAACAAAAAAAAATTCCAGTACATTCAGAACTGCTCTGAAATGTCAAATAGCTGCTGGCTTATTGTAAATTGCTGACATATGAGTGGTTTGACATTTAGAAAGTTTTTAGATAATTTATCTCTCTGTTTGCTGATGCATTTTGGTCTCTGCACTGCCGAGTGAGGCGTTTTCAACCCTGTGGATCAGCTGGCCTTTAGCCTGTGTTTGCTAGTGAACGTTAGGGTTACGCGTGCTCTGACCTGTTTGCCACCGCAGCTGACAGCAGAGAGGATATTAGTGGGTGTTGTTGTGAGCTTAATAATCATAGGAATACATTTCTGCTCTGCCTTACAGTGGCAGAGATCAGTAACTAAAGAAACAGTTGAGAAAAGAGCCAACTGTGTAACAGATATAGACGCTGTAAAACCTTAATTGTGCCATTTTAGGTCGATTATATAAAACCAAAATAAAACATTTAGATACTTCACTGGACATATTAATTTAAAGAGCGACAGGAAAATGCAGTATCTACAAACAAAACATGCCCTTCTTCCCCAGCTTTTATGTTCTTTTCAACTAATAAGCCAGTTTAGTAAATAAATAAATTAAATACATTTAAATATATAATTTAAATTCAATTCAATTAAATTCAATTTTATTTGTATAGCACCAATTCATAACAGAAGTTATCTCAGGACACTTTTCAAATAGAGCAGGTCTAGACCAAACTCCTTATAACATTACAAATGATAAATGTAACTTAACACACAATAAATAATGTGAATTTGTGTCTCTTAGAAGTTGCCGAGATGGCCACTATTGCTGCTCGGCTAAGTTAGCCTTGTAGCAGGACTGCTTTATCTTGTGTTACTTTTTTTCTCTGTTATGATTAACCTTAGCTACTACCTACATTATTTATATGTTATAACAAAATCAGTCAAGATGTTTGAGTATCAGAATTGATTTTTCAGTCACAGGAAAGAAGACTTTGTTATCACTGCAGTTTGGTTTTAACTCTATTTTTTTTTTCTAATTTTACATGCTTGCTTTTTCTATTACTATGGCTCATTATAATCTGGTCAAACACATGTCAGAAAGTTGAGAGATTCTGGTTTTAACTCAGCTTTGACCAAATATGTATTTACTGCATTTTGACTTTGCAGTACAGGAGGTCTTATCAGCAGCCGTGGAGTCGATGTCTCATTGCAGACGGGGCTAGAACCCGTAGTGGGTCCTTACAAGTGCTAATTGAAAAGCTAGATAGATATACTACTCGTTTTTTTGCCACAATCAAGACACTCAAACAAAGCTTATTCAAAATGTTCAGCTAAACAACAAGAATAGATGTTCAGTAAGACAAGTTGGGCCAAAGGTGGGCAGCCGCACCCTCTGCCACAGCTTATCAGTGTAAGTGGATGTTCTTGACACCTTGGACAGGAGTTCTCTTAATTTATAACACCAATTACTTACAGGCTGTCACCTAGCGACTGCAAGTTGCTCCTCTGGTAGACAATTAGAAAGCACATGGGATAGGTACATGAGGAAGTGTGTATTAGTTAAATGTCCCATTCATTAGGTTACTTGTCAACGGACCATGTTGTTGTATCTCGCGTGGCAGCACTTGAGTGTTTCCGGCAGCCCATTTCGCAGGTGTGTTTTCAAGACCGTGGGATCACTCCAGAGACAGTTTGCGGTATTGTTCCAGTCAGGCAGTTTACGGACACCTTTGATTAGGACATCCACATCCTGATAAATGGACAGCTGTGCAGTAATCACAAGTGTTTTTCTTTACAGCCTGAGCAATAACCCTGGATGATGAATTTTCATTGTAATTCCATTTTTTCTAGCCGTGATTGCAATTTTGTTGCTGTGCTACTAAACGAATAAAGGGAAGCCTGGCGGTAATAATTCTCCCCCCTCACTGTCATTGTTGCTGTCACGAAGCGGTGAACCATTAGTGGATCAGATAGACGTTCAGAGGTTTGTTGGCTACCAGCACCAACATGCTTGAACCGGCTCCAATTTTCCTACTATCTTCTCACATGTAAAGCAGAAATGCACTGTACTAAACTGAGATTAAAGGAGAATATTTATAACCCAAGGGCACCCTTACCTAAATAATTCATTGCTTCATTCTGTTTATCTTGCTGCCCTCCCTTCTCACAACCCTCCCTCCTTGTCCTTACAGTGGCTTCTCTGACAGTCTGATTCAAGACATTATCTACAGCTACCTGGTTTTACCCAATCGCATCACCATCCCTCTGGTCGGGGATGTGGAACTGGCCATGCTGCGCTTCCCCATGCCAAAGGTACTAATGCTGTGTGAAAATGCAATTAAACATGAAGTGATTTAATATTCCTTGCCTCTTCGAAACTGTCTGAGTTGGTGCATAAGCTGACTGCTTCAGGAGGGAATTCCTGGTTGGAAACTGAAAGTCCTTGACAATCAAATCTCACAGTGTTTTTATTCTTCTTTTCCCCTAATGAAAGAAAGTAGGTATCAGGGTTTTGTAGATAACTCACAGCATTAAAACAGAAAGAAACAAAAAAACCAGCCTTAGCAGCTTAAGAGCACGTCCAGGCTTTGTCGCTAGTGCCCGTGTCCATGGCAACAAGATAAACACTAAAGTGTATTTCAATGCAAGCAGCAGCCTTGTTGAGGAGATACTATATTGTGATGTTTAAGATATTTTAAGCGATGATAAGATTATTATAACTCTTTTCTAGTGATTCTTCTAACATGACTTTACATTAGCTGATTAATTGATTAGTGGATTGAAATACTGGATGGAAAATTAATCAGAAATGACTGAATGATTTCCATTAATCAGTCAGTTATCAAGCAACAAAGTCAAATGTCCAATGTCAAGTTTTATATCACTACAGAAATGATGATCTTGAGTTTTAGACTGTTGTTCACACAAAAGAAAATAATTAGAAATGTCACCTTGTGATGGACATTTAGATTTCACTATTACTATTTCTAACTAAAATAATTGTTAATTGTTGCCTTAGTAAAAAAAACAGATTGCATATAAACACACAATCTAGTGGAAGTTTTAAGGAAAGCTAACCCCCCCCCTGCTACCAGTTAGATTGTCAATCGTTAACTTTAAATAATTTCTGTAGGAAATGAAATGAAACGTAAACAATAAATAACATAATTAAGCATGCTTTGTTACTACCTAACCTCAGTAATAAGCCACAGTTTTCTGCATTGCCTCATGATACCCAGTTTGTAATGTCACATGTTATCACCACTGACTTTTGGCCTCAAAGTGTCAGAGTCTGCTATTTCAGAGTCGCTCCCCTCGACGCTGTGCTCTGCATGTCTCCACAGGGAGTCCTGAGGATTCACTTCTTAGAGGCTCAGGATCTGGAAGGAAAGGATACATTTCTGGGAGGGCTGATCAAGGGCAAGTCCGACCCCTACGGCATCCTGCAGATCGGCAACCAGCTGTTCCAGAGCAAGACGATCAAGGAGAGCCTCCATCCCAAATGGAACGAAGTTTACGAGGTGACAAGTTTGGGATGTTTCGTGGAGTAACATTTATAACAGCGCAGTTTAGGTTACGCTTTCATTTATTAAGAATGAAGACGAGTTTAATCTCCCAACCTGCTGCCTGGTAGGCGATCTGTCTATTGACTGGACATGCATCAATATGCTCCTGTCTTCATCAGGCGTTGGTGTACGAGCACTCGGGTCAACACCTTGAGATTGAGCTGTTTGACGAGGATCCGGACAAGGATGATTTCCTTGGAAGGTGAGTTCCTCTCATTTCCTTCCCCGCTCAGATCTTATCACACATATTTCATAAGGAAACAAAGTCTCTTTGCACCTCAGCAGTGCGACTGATTTGTTGTTGTTGTAATCAGCCAACTATATATATAGACAAGCCGGTATGGCATTGATATATTGTCTCCTAAACACCCGAGGGGACGGTGTGATGAACACATCTGTGCTAGTATACATAAGTTAAAGTAAAGAAGAGGTGTTATCCCACAGATCCAAGCCCAAGGGCAAAGCCAATTGATTTTGCCCAGAGGCTGTAACACTACACCCAGCGCTGACAAGACAAAGCAACCAATCGATGACTGGACCCCCTCTGCTCAGATTAATTGGTGTGATTTCTCTGCTCACTGCTTGCCATCCCGATTTGAATAATTATTTGTCATTATTATTATTCACAGCCTGATGATCGATATGACAGAGCTGCACAAAGAACAGAAAGTTGACGAGGTAAAAACATGACCAAATTATTGTACTCATGTAATTAGAGTTTATACAATATACGTCTTAAATGAATAATTACACTTTTTCTTTTTACGCTTTCTTTCCCGAGTTAAATCAGGAGATCGATACCACTCTTATGACTATATAATAAGCCTGAAACAAGGGCAAAGAGCTGGTGTGGGTCTGTCCAGAGTGAACAAACTTTGCCTTCCAGCACCTCTAAAGCTCACTAATTAACAACATTACATCTCCGTTTTCCGCTGGTTGCCTAGCAACCTCACAGTGACGACACAGTCCAGCACATAACCTCCATTAAAACCACAAAATGTTGTTTTTATACTTTGGTTTTTGTACAGATTAACAAGATATAGTGTATCTATTTTTTTAATTAGTGAGCTTTGGCTTTTGAACAGAGCCAGACTATCTGTTTGCCCATGTGGCTGCAGCTTTATATCTACCATACAGATATGAGAGTGGTATCAGTCTTCTCATCTAACTCAACAAGAAGGCAAACGTATGATAATTCTTCAGTCATTCTTTGAAAAAAATCAATTGTCTGGTCCCTTCAGTGACTTAATTCAATGATTTAACTTTGATATTTTGTATCTCTGTTGCAGTGGTTCAACCTGGAGGAAACTTCTACTGGGAAACTCCACTTAAAAATGGAGTGGCTAGCTCTGCTCTCCACTCCGGAGAGATTGGACCAGGTATAAAAACAAACTGTCTATCTTTATCTTTGACTGTTTCTGTATTTGCTGCTGATACTGGAGGGTGGATAACACAGCTTATCTTTCCTTTTTGTCTCTCTGTCCAATCAGGTGCTGCGAAGTGTGCGTGCAGACAGAAGCCTGGCCAATGATGGGCTATCATCAGCACTGCTTGTGGTCTATCTGGACTCAGCAAAGAACCTGCCAGTAAGATACTGCAACGCTCATTATATTTTGATGCTTGCAATGCTGTTGTTCTGATGCTATAGCTTGTGCTAAAATATAGCATTAGGCTTATTCAAGCTTCTTGTTCTCCACCCAAACCATACACACCACATGTAGCAACAACCAGTTTAGTAGGAAATACCAGTGTGGCACAGTTGTTTAAGTAAGGATTATTGGTCAGTGTGCAGCAATGCTCCACTTCCCTGTTACCTTAATGTCTCATGCTTTGTGACACTTGAGTGACTTCATCAATTTGCTTTCCATGTTGTTTGAAATTTGGTTTTCACTGCTTTCTGACCTCCTGGTGAACCTAACAACCAGGTTGTTGATTCTTTTTCTCATTATCTAAGCTACTCAAAATCTAGCCATAAAAACAAGAACTAATTATTGTGAGTGTAGCCTACAGCTCCAAACGGGTCAATATGTTTTCAAGTTTTATGATTTAGTCATTATAGCTCGGAGATTCTGTCTTGTGTCAAAACCTTTGTAGTTGTTCAGTAGCAGAAGAGAACCTTGAAACTCCAAAACCTCCAAAGTTTATCCAGTGCATTGTGAAGGCTTTCATTGCACCAATTGTTGTCAAATTTACCTGTAACCTGTAAAAAATTTTGCAATCCTAAAACATATAAAGGACTTTTCACCATCACAAAATTCTTAGCCGTCTCAGTCCTCATAACTGCACCTTTTTCTCTTTCCTCTTTACCCAAGAGCGTCTTCACAGGCAGCTTAGGCTGTGGGAACTTAAGTGAGAGGAGAGCATCTGGTCTAGTCTTTTGTGAGAGCAATACTTCAGAGTATAGAACAATATGTGTGAGTCCCCCAGTGCGTTTGCATCCTGATAGTGTTAGCATTAGCCGTGTGCGATGCTGTGGGTTGAACAGTAACAGGGGTCCTTAAAACCTGTATCTCGAAGCATGCGTTAGCTGCACGGTTTTATTGAAATGTCTAATGAAAATGACCCTGGGTGCCCAATAACCATTAACACGAAGCAACAGGAAAACACAGGACTCAGCTATGCCTGCTTGTTAGTCAGATTCTGCTCAATCAGGTGCTTAGTTCAAGGCTGTAATATAAAAGATAGATAAGTACAAAGAGCACAAAACTGTATCAGTGAGCCAATTAATATGTAGCTGTACAGATACAGAAAGCCTGTAGCTTGTTAAAAAGAAGTCACACTCCAAATCCTCCCTGAAAGAAATAACCTCATTATTCTGTTTTCATTGTTAGCTCCCTGCAGTGTCAACAGTATCAGCCCTCATGTTGCTTTTTATTTATTACCCATATCATTCATGTTTTATATTTTCTTTCTGGGTTTTTCTCATGCCTCTTAGCCATACCCTCATCACTCCAGTCCTAATAACTGTGGGTGTGATTTTCTCCCCCAAATCTCCTTGTGGCTTAAAGAGCAACCTGTCAGATTTCACCTATGATGGGTTGAAGCAAGTCTCAGTCTTTAAGGCCCTGAAGGTAATGTGGGAAAAATGGATTGCATGTACAGCTCACGCCCTGTGTCTCATCTGTGCCCTTCAAGTGCACCATCCAAACACCATGTGATTGTGATGATTATCAAGCGGAGTGAATTGTCTCGATGTGCATGAAGATGGATGATTGCATTGTCTGTTTTATGCCCTTTTTTTTGTGCTGTACACACCTTTCTTCTTATTTGTAGTGATACATGATTTTCCAAATGTGTGATCTTGCATGCAAAAGTCTAATATTGCACTTTTCTGCTGCATTCAACAACTATCCAACAGTCTCTACATGTGCTTGTTTTTATTGCACTGGAATTGAGTTAGGCCTAAGGTTTTCAGCAACAAACCTGCAGGGCAACCCAGCCTGTGTTAGCTTATCAAAAAGCTGATCAAGTCCATGTCATGTTGGAACTTATGGTATGGCATAAGGAACAACATGTCCAGAAACAATAAGCACTAAACGTGGCATTGACACAGTTGGAAGGAGGCAGACAGAAGTAGAAACATGACTGTATTAGGTCTGTTAGGCACCTGCCACAACGACATTTGTTGTGTTTCACAGTCACAAGTTCAGCAGGTGATATACAGCGTTACCACACAGCTGTTCTTATCCAGCACGTTACACAAACGCTTACTCAGAAATCAACTGTTTCCTTGTTCTAGTCGGCATCCTGCCTTTAACATTTCTAGGAAGTTCTAAGCTCTCCATGTAGTGGCACGCCCTCAGGGTGACATCAGTCACGTCAGTGGAACTCCTCACACCGTTGTGTGTCGGTTTCATTTGGCATTACAGGCAAAGTGGAGTACAAATACTTGCGGTCTGCTTCATTCTTTGTAATCCCAACTGCAGTGTCACTGCTACCTGGCTGGGCTGGCTGTTAGTGGGGAGGCAGGCTGATATAAACCTGCTGATGTGCAGCTTTCTTTGAATTTCTTCATTGTGTCTATACTAGGAAGTTGTTTTGATATCTAAAATGTTACTTTTACTTCCTTTTCTTGTAGGTCTTTTAGCATCACTTGACATCAGGAATAAAGATTTAGAGAACAATGGCAAATATTCTGGATGTAGACATGCCTGTTTGAGAGTAAAAAAGTGATCTGCTATATACCTCAAAGGTTTTCAGCTAAAATGTGATTGATTTGTAAAAAAAAATAAGATGGAAAATCTGAGTCAGAAAATCAGTGTTTTGTTTAATTGTGAGATAAACTGTTGACTGTATATATTTCAATCCAAAGCACAAAATGGCAACACCTAGTGACAACCTCATTTGTAGATGTGAAGTCAAGTCAGTTTTATTTATGTAAAGCTCAGAATCATAGATTTGCCTCAGAGGGCAAAACATCTTCTGTCCTTAAACCTTCTATTTGGATATAGAAAAATCTCCACAAAGAAAAACTTATACAGTAAAAGTAACAGTAGCAGTTGTAACATTTTCAGTAAGCAACTTAAGTACAAATGTATAATTCCAATAATGTGAAACACAATGCATTTTTAAGTGCCTTCTCAGTTCAAGCTGTAGCATATAAACGTGTGGGATTGTGTTAATCAGCCTGCATGTACAATGTGGAGCTTAATTCTAATGCTGGTGAGAAATAGATGTCAAACTTAAGCACCATCCTCAAGAGAAAGGATGGGCTAACAAGTAAGTTAAGACTTTCCCCCACTGACTTGTAGATATGTAGGGTATTATTATTCTGTAAGGAGTCCTGAATAATTCTTAGCTGTCAAAACCCAGCATGCTAAAATTAGAAAGCAGAGGAGACAAAGCTTGGCAGTCTCCTTGGTAGCATCTCTGCCTGCAGCCCTGCTTGTCAAAACGTATGGTAATGTTCCTTCCCTCTTGAACTGCAGACTCTTTTACCATTGTGTGCCTGACACAGAGTCTCGAGAAGCTAATGTTTTGGGTGTAATTATGTTGTCCGTTAGACGTCTCTGCATTGTGTGTCAGAGTGAGGAGAATCAGCTAACACCCCTCTTCTCTGATTCTTTAATAGTCTGCAAAGAAGACCAGCAGCGAACCCAGTCCTTATGTTCAAATGACCGTTGGACACAAAACACTTGAGAGTAAGGTGAGTAAGCGTCCATTAGATTTCACTTCATATGTGGAGAAAAAAAATGCAACTTCTGCATGTGATTTTTGTTCCCAATCTTCCAGTTTTAAGTTGGCAATAACATCTCGATGACCAAATATTTAATACAGCAGTTACTTTTATGAGAATATATCTCACATTTGTCGGACACGTTTGAAGTCTTAACAGCCAACACATCTCATTCTCTAACCGTCTCTCCCTGGAGTTTTTTTTATTAGTTCTCTCCGACTGTGGAATTAAATGAATAATAATGAGATGAACTGAAAATTGTTGTGCGAGCAAATGAAATTAAGTATTATAACCTTCAAACATACCATTAAGTGTCGGCTAAAGAGCTGCTTCGCTGACATTTCTCGTGGGAAATTTTTAAATACAGTTCGAAAGGGAAATAAGGAGAAGGAACCACTTAAGTGGACCGTGTTATTGTTGATGCTGAAGGTTTACTGCGAGCATATAATGGGTTTAGGGAGGGTTGTTGTATTAGATTCCTTTTGTGGCAGAGATATGAGCTTAGTTAGGAACACTATGTTTATGAGAAATCACATCTTGTCCATTAGTTTGGGATAGCAGACAGCTCAAAATACTACAATATGCATTGGAGCTATTGAGAGGAAATTAGTGAGAGGTGTAAATCAGAACTGTAGCAAATTCCTCCTGATTCGTTGCTGCAGTTGTGAACAAAAAATTGAGCCAGAATCCAAAAGTTCTGCAGATTATATTTTTAGTTTACACCACAATCTTTAGTCTTTGCCCGCCGTTAGCTTCCCACGTAACAGAACTTTTAAAGTTATGCGATTAGATGCCCTTGTTAGTCTTTTGTACTGATGATTCAAGCAGGGGGATTTCATGCACATCCAAGCTGTGCTCCAACTGTCACATAACATTGTCTGTGGAGAAAACTAAATAGAATTTTTAGTTTAAGACCAGGGGTGCTCGATACAGCTTCTCCCATTTCACAACCGTACACGTGAGAGTGAGTGATGTCAATCAAGCGCAGTCTGTGCATGCCCACGCTCTCCTTAGAGGAGGTCTAATCAGGAAGAATAAGTAAAAACACCTGTGCTGCTGCATTTGTTGTTGTTTGTTGTTGCTGTGGCTCCTTTGGTCTTCAGCAAGTGAGAAACATGTTAATTTAGACTGAGATCAGGTTTTTTTTTGGTCTGTCTGCTTGGCTATAAAAACTCCATCATCACCTAGCCTACAGTATAGTATATTTAGGAAACTGGGGAACTATGTTTGTAAGAAATACCCTTAAAGCTAAAAGAAAAACCCCAAAACACTTGTTCCATTGTTCCATTTAAAACCCAATTTGTTTAAGTAAAGAGCAAACCTGTGAAAAGCCTATCGCTGCCCTAATTCTTTATTCGTGGACACCAATCTTGTGAGGAAACATCAAGGAGTAGAGTATGAAGATCAACAGAGCTAATTAGAGGTTTCAAACAGTATTGTATTAAGTAGACCTGCAGGATTGGAAATGATAAAATACTGAAATAAAAGCAAGATGAGCAAAAATTATTAAGTGTAACATGAAAATGTAGAAAGATTCATAATTACAGACGATAAAACATTTCCATTTTATGAAGTAATGAAAATGTCTGGATAAACCCTCATTTTCAGCTAATAGCATCATCCCTACTGTGTTAGTGTGTCACTAGTATGATTCTACATTTCAGGTTCAGCACTTTCTAATGACTGATTGACAGATTCCTCCAGATTAATTGTGTTTTTAATTAGCAGGTCTCAAATATCTTTTAATGAACAACTAACAAACGACTACCTGTCTGCCCGTAAAGATCCGCTTCAAGACCAAGGAGCCTCTGTGGGAAGATTGCTACTCATTCCTCGTTCACAATCCCAGGAGGCAGGAGCTCGAAGTGCAGGTAATGCTGCACAAATCTTCCCCGATAAGTATGTTTCATGAGATCACGCAACAGATGCCGAGAGTAGCCGACGTGTCTTAATGCATATCTTCTTCTCTCGTAACGCAACAGGTAAAAGATGACAAGCACAAATGCAACCTGGGTAATTTGACGGTGCCTTTGAGCAGCCTGTTGGCAGAGGAGGACATGACGCTGACTCAGTGCTTTCCCCTCAAGAACTCCGGGCCCAGCTCCACCATCAAACTGAAGATGGCCCTGAGGGTAAGAAACAACCTGGACCTGTGTGCATTAGTGATTTAAGGGTTATTCATTTCAGGAAACCACAACAGATGTTCAAGATCTGCTGATTGAAACGGAAAGGATTGTGAGAACAGGCATGTAGTAAAGCAAGTATTGCAGTGTCAACTATGAGCTGAATGGTATTTATTAAATTCATAACAGCCTATATATTTTATGCTCTCTGCTTAGTTGTAATTTGACTTGGCTGTCAGTCTCTTCACAAGGCTCATACGCAGTTTACAGTGATGAAGGTCAAACGGTGGCAGATTTACCTCTTAAAGTTCTTCGTAATACCTGAAACAGTGAATCCTTGATGACAGACAGAGGTAGAAAGAAGCAAGGTTCTCATTTCTAGCCCACTACTGATGATGTTGTGGCTGGCTAGCTCCATGAGATGGTTGAAACACCCCAAAATCAATACTACATATTTTTCCTCTTACCTGTAGGATTATTGAACATTTTAGTTGCATGCTTCCAGCCACAGAAACCATTCAAATGCCAAAATCTTCAGCACTTTAATGACATGCATGCTTGTATTCAACTTTTTTCTACCTCTTTTTTTCCCTCTTTTTAAGTTTTTTTCAAATTATTTTTTACAATGAAAGTAAAGTTCTACTGCTAGAACTGACTATGTGTGTGTTCAGTGAAGCACCACTACTGCTAGTGGAGCGCTCCAATTTCAAACTCTCAGCTAACGGTGATTCAATGATGGATTACACCTGCAGCAGTTTATAATTGGGGTGTAGAAAATATCTCAGACATGCTGTGCTGTTCACCGGCACAGTGGTTCAAGCACATCGCCCCTAACCACAAGGTGAGTGGTTCTATTCCTCACTTATAGGACTTCGGGGGTGGCTACTTCACATACTGTAAAAAATAGCTGATTGGGTGACTGATGAAACCTTTCATTGGTTGTTTGTGAGATGTTGATGTTTAACAATTCGGACGTCTCTCCCTTTTGACTGGTAATGCTTTATGTTCTATATCTTCTATATCTTGAATATTATTCAACTGCACTCTCAAACACACGCTTACACATCAACTGACATTTGAACATTAGGCTGGCCTATGATGGATGGCGTTGTGTTCAGTAGTGCAGTGGTTACACTGCTTGTCCACGACTCTCGATTGCTCTGCATTGCAGAGCATTTGAGACTTTCCAGGCAATTAATTTCTGCAGTTTCAGCAATGCTTTAGAAATCATTTTCACCAGGAAATGGATTTTCCAGTTTGTTCTGATATCAAAAGGGTGTGAACGTTTGGAGATATTGGCTGTAGAGATGTCTGCCTTCTCTCCAATATAATGGAGCCAAGATGGCACTCTGCTTGTGGTGCCTAACTCAACCAAAAACTCAACAGCAATGTTTCTTTCCTGAAATAATGACCTGGTTAATCAAGAAACACAGACCTTGTTGTGAGCAGTTCCATATTTTTTTTTTTCTGTGTATCACTGCACAGAGTGGTTGGCGGGTGTAGTTCGGTAGAAAGAAGAAGAGCAGAGAGAAGGCAGATATTTCTACAGCCAGTATCTCTAACACTCAGCAACTCACACCAAAACAATCCTATGGATTCATAGCACTACAAGTAACAGGAGGAAGATGTATTTTTTAATTTTAGGGGTGAACTGTCCCTTTAAATAGGCACATGATGACTACATGTGTGATATAATGCCAGAAGACTGAAGCTAAAAGTGTTGCAGCCAGGTAAAAAGTCAACATCCTCACCACTGGCCGTATATTTGGGTCTAGGCGTACAAATTACCAAAAAAAAAAAAAAAAAAAAAAAAACTAATATTAGGGGTATTTCTTTTTTTAGATAAAGTTTGATTTTTTTTGAGATATATGTCTCTGAAATTTGAGTGAATGGAATTTTGTTTGTGATGCACCATTTAAAAAATGAGTTACCCAACCCTCCCAACCTCACTAGACAAATCCCAATTTAACCCTTGAACTCAAACGTTCACTCCTTTCATAAAGGCACTTTGCCATGACACACTACTAATGAAATATTGACCCTATGTTTCAGACTGGAATCATTTATTATACTGCCTAAAAACACAGGATACCATAGCAAATAGTAAATTACATTGGCCTTCATGACAACAAAACAAAGTGCATTCTCTTGAACTGAATCATCCCAACTGATCAAATAAAAGAATGATTGCAGCCGCATCAAAATATTGACCTGCACTGAAATAGCTTTTCTGTATTGGATCACAACCAACTTAGCAAGATTCATGACGGATATTCAAAAAGGGAAATGGCTTTGGAGGATTATTGAGCCATCATAGAAAGACAGATAGCACTATGAGGCAGATTTGGCCAAGATGCTGACCAAACACTTGAAAATACCTGAAATTATTCAGCAGTATCAGGAGTTTTAAAGACTACTTTATAAGTCACTCAGACCATGCAGATTGTTATCACTGTAAGGTTGTATGTTAAACCACCAACCCAACCAAATCCCCTTTAAAAAACCTTCATTTTATGGAGTTGGGAAGATATTTTACTTGAGTTACAGTATTTTTACTGGAGTGAAATGATAAAACTCACCTATTCTTACTTATTCAAGCACTGTAACTGTAGTTATTATTCATTATCCTCAGTAATGTCCTCATGTCTTTCTGTAGATCCTGTCCCTGGAGAAGCAGGTATCCTCAGACCAGCCCTCCTTCGTCCAGGTCAGGAAGTCCAGTGTGCCGCAGCCACCCGCCCCCCCACCCCCTCCCAGAGACGATCAGCCTCAGATTCCCCACTGCCTCCACACACGCCTCCGCCACCTATAGACGCTTCCACTCTCACCCTCCAACAAAGGGACGGCGAGCCGTACTCAGCCAGTACCTCCAACCTGAGCACCTGCATGTCCAGCTCCCAGAAACACCTGCCTCATAAGGAGTCCACACCCAGCCTGGCCTCGGATATCTCCCTGCCCTTCGCCACCTTGGAGCTTCAGCATAGGCTTCGCCAGCTGCAGAAGTAAATGGCACATCTGATACTATTATTATTGTTAGAACGGTTCCTGTCTCTGCTGAAATATTGCTCACCATTTCTTAATTTGTATTTTTTCCCCTCCTCATTTTGCCTCATATAAATTCTGCCTCTGCCTCTGATGAAATGTCATCCTGATTGTTTTGAAAATGTATCTTTATGAATATTTGATTTGACTACCTGTCAAGGTAAGACCATCTGTGCCTGCATTATCCATGCTGTACGAATTCAGCTGCAGTCTGTGGAAGTGACACTGAGTTACTCTGGTGTGTTTATAGTGGCTCGGCCCCCAGCCAGTACCCCCTGGGTGAGGTCCAGCTGACTGTTCGACACAGCTCCCAGAGGAACAAACTCATTGTGGTGGTGCACGCCTGCCGGTGAGGTCCACAGCCATGATATACTCCATTTTAACTGGTTGTTTGTAAGATATATGGCAGACTTGTCCTCAGCCCAAATATTTGTCATTTATTGTAATATGTTGCTAGTCATTCTTCAGTATCCACATCCTCTTACGTCCTTTGGAGCTACCAAGATATAAGCATTAATGGACAATAGTTGCCTGGCAACATGTGAGTGAAACAATCTTGTCCTGTGTGTCCTCAGTAACTTGATAGCCTTCACCAAAGACAGTTCAGATCCCTTCATCCGCCTCTATTTGCTGCCCGACAAGAGCCGGACGGGGAGGAGGAAGACCAGCACGATGAAGAGGACCCTTAACCCTGTCTATGATCAAACGTGGGTTTAGATATTATTACTATCTCTGTGTGTGTGATATTTATGAAAGAGGGCCCAACAGATGCGTCCTGCAGCTGTTGGGCCCTCTTTCTTGAAGGTTTATAGGTTTAGAGACACTTATATGTTAATAAATAATGAAGCATTTTTATTTGATCGTAAAATCTGTATAAAATGTGTGTTTGTTTATAGGTTTGAGTTCAGTGTATCTATGGTGGAGCTCCACAGGAGAACTCTGGATGTAGCAGTGAAGAACGGAGGGAGCATCCTGTCCAAACATAAAGGGCTTTTGGGGAAGGTAACTCCAGCAGGTTTCTTGTTTCTGGTTGTTATTGTGAGTTTTCTCCAGCAGCAGAGCTAGTTAGATGTACCAAACATAATTCATTTTTTGCTTTTTTGTTCAAAATTGCAGGTGCTGGTAGATTTAAGTGGGGAGGATATATCAAAAGGTTGGACACAATGGTAAACTTGTATTTTATTTTCGCCCTATGCAGCATTGAGTGAGTTCTTTCGCCTATTTTAGTGCTTAAATATATATTGTTTTATCATTTTCTCTTGCAGGTATGATCTGAGTGAAGATGGTTTCTCGTCTCAAGGCTTAAGGAATATTCAAGACCCCCTCCTCACATAGTGAAACCACCTCTCTGCTGTAATATAGTGATCTTGTTAATATAAGGGCACATCATTTTGTTGCATTCATGGACATTTTTCGTATAGTTTACATGAATTATTTCAGCATGCAAGAATTTTTGTTCAGACTTTTCCAGCCATGATTTCATTAATGATGATGAAGATAAGAGGATATTGTAACATATTGTAACATGTTTGAAACACACAAAATGCCTTGTCTCTGTTTTATGTAAATATGAAGTTGCTAATATATAGTTAGAAGACTTTGCAGGGGTTTTCGTGGCATTATGTTTCCTCAACGGAAATTGTAATGAAATCTGTCAGACTTGTTATTGCTTTCTGTTCAATTTGTTAAAATGTGACAAATCCTGTCGTCGTCTGAGGAAACTTACCAAAGGAACAGATACAATCACAAACGTAGGCTTAAGTAGCAGTCTTGACTTTGATTTTTTATTTTTTTTTGTCATGCAGTGTTATTTTGATTGTTTACTTCTTATTGTTCTTTATGCTTGATTACAAACATGGAATGCACATATGCAAAAGGATAAAATGATTGCTCTGTATATTTTAAAATGACTTTGTGCAATATTGGTTGATCTGAACGTTGTCTCAGATGATGAAGACCTGGGGGCATTTTAGGGCTATGAACAAGTGCTGTATAATATGAACAATATAAAGGATACTTGAATAAGGGTTTGACTTTGTCGTTCAGACCAAATGTTGAGTCGAACAAAATTGAATAATATAAGCAGAGACAACAGTTATTGCATTTTATGAGCAGGGATTGCCAGAATTTGTTATGAAGATGACACAGCAACGTCACAGGCTTGTACATGCAGTCCTAAGTGTTTGTTGGAGCGTTTAAAAACTTTTTCTTGTTATCTATCCTGTGCCTTAAAAAAACGCTATGTAATTTTTTGCCTTCTTAATGTTATTATTTTGAATGATGCCTCATGGGTTTTGAAGAATAAATGGTTGCTCTTGTGAAAGAGTGTCTTTTGTCCTGCTTGTTTTTACAACTTGGTCCCTTCTGTGCAGCAAAACTGTGAATTGTTCCCACTTAAGGTGTAAATATGACATATGTTCTGAAGTGCCCTCGAGCAAATCACTGAATTCAACCTTGCAGCATAAATTTCCCCTGGGGATTGGGGTCTAACCTAGCAGAATGAATAAATACACGTGTAAATGTCATGTGTGCTACTCAGGGTTCCCATTTTTTTTCAGAAATTGTTTTCCAGGACATTTTCCAGGACAACATTTCGCTTACAAACAGTAGCCATCATTTATGGGATGCTCCGTGTTAGCTCGCTTTTGTGGCACGCTTTGCTGTTTGCTGTTCTTTTTCACAGCCATTTGGATATGAAATAGTAGGGTAAACATAGGGTGTTACCAATGATGCCTATTAAGGCTCCATTCAATTTAGTGTTGCCTTCCCAGTGAGCCAACATGTCCCCTCACTAAATTACCTTAATTGTGTTTCCCCTATTATTTAATGTCAAAATGGCTGCTGTGAAAAAGGTCTATTGACAATCGCTTTCCTCTCACTGTAACATTCATTTGGTCATAATACAATTAAAAATTCCAGGACAATATACAATATTTCCAGGATATTTGGTCATTTTAATCAATTTCCAGGTGATTCCGTGACTGGAAAACTCGTCTGTAAACATTCCAGGTTTTCCAGGACTCGTGTTAACCCGGGTTACTACAGCATAACGCCACTGTAAAGACTTACAACAAGGGTACAGAAAGCACAAGCTCTAAGACACACACGACATTTGCGGTGATTTGTCGCCATCAAGTGGCAGAAGAAGGGAACAACAACAATACGTCGGCGTCAAAAGTGGACGCACGACGTCATGACGTTACGTCCGTACGTACTTTATCCAAATTTGCGCGGGTTTGCTGTTGTTATGGGTGGCTGTCATTCGGCTTTTGTCGGCTCACAAAATTATACATAAAACGGTAAATGTCAAAGCTATTGGTTCATATTTTACACTGTGATTATTAGAAGTTATAATACAACTAATACTAATTGTATTAGGAGGATTAACGGTCGCAAATACTACTTTTACCGCTAACGATAAACGGACTGCCATGTTTGTTTTGATCTTCTTCCAGTAACGTTGAGTCAACCCAGCCTTAGCTAACACAGTACAAGTGTTGATGGTGCTGTGTTTGTTATTATTTCAGGTTTACTGTGAGTCTAAAAGTCGCTTGGGAAAGCCGAAAACATGTCCAAACGAGCGGCGTTTTTAACGGCAGCCTGTAAGGAAAATGTGGAGGACTTCCTTCACTTTATCCAACTTCATGTGAGTAGCTCCCTTCTTTTTTTAAATAGCAAACCAGGAAGCCTTCAGAGCAATCACAGGTTAATATAGGTTAATATAATAACTTAGATACGTAAGAAGTAAGCTAAATATTACCACACGCCTCAGTATAACAATCTGCAGCCTCCAAAATAGTTTGTTTGCAGTGTTGGAGGAAGTTTTCAGATCCTTTACTTTAAGTAAAAGTACTAATACCACACTGTAAAAGCACTCTGTTACAAGGTTTACATTGACTGATAGTACTGGAAGTCCCTTTATACTATAATCAGGAAAATATGTACTTAAAGTATGTAACAATGTCCCCCTGTGACTGTACTATTATATATTTAATCATTAGATTATTATTAATTGTGCATTAATGTACAAGCAGGGTTTTCTGTTGTATTTAGTTGAGGTAGAGCTAACTTTATGTATATGACTGCAACTAATGATTATTTTCATTATGGATTAGTCTGTTAATTATTTCTTCTATTAATCGATTGTTTAGTTTGTACAGAAATAGTGGAAAAATGCCATCAGCTGCACTATGTATATCCTGTTGGGTAGTTTAATTTGTAACAAAACATCATATTTTAAAAGTGCTTCATATGTTTTGTTGTGCAAAAATGTTGTTTTTAAAGTAACTAATACTATTAAATGAATGTAGTGAAGTAAAGAAAAGACTCAAAAATCTCACATTTGTACAGTAAGTAAATGTTTTAGTTACACTGAAGAAGAAACAGTACAGGAGAGCATATTGTACTGCCACACTCCTGCAGCTATAAACTGTGAACTATATAGCACAGGTAAAATCTAAAAATCCTGTATATCATTTGGGAAATAGGTCTTATATTTCTTCATGCCAGACAGTTTCTGCAAATCACATCGCTCTGTTCATTCAAATCAGTCCACAGATTGATTTTCTATAAGTCATCCCCTACTGGAAATGAAAGTGCCTTTTTGTAGTCACAATTTATGTCTGTCCTCTATGTCTGAAGTTGTTTCTGTCCTCCTCCTGTCTGTACTGCTGAGCAGAAGGACAAAGCGGATCCTTTCGATGTGGAGGAGGTGGTGCAGGAGATGCCCAGAGACCAGAGACAGACTCTGTGGGGGAAGCTGGCTTCACTCCTTCATGACATCCTGCAGGAGTTGCCTCCGGAGCGCTGGGAAAAGGGCAGGGAAGAGGGCATGGAAGTTGAGTCGGCTGCTGACCCTGTGAGTTTACCAGCCAGTTTATGTAGAGTTATAGCATAAACTTTTATGGCATTGCAATTTGATATTCTTTTGCTTTTAGATTTGTGTTGAAATGAAAAACAAACCAGACAATTTTGCTTCCAAATGAGCTGTATCTTTATTTTTAACATCAGCTTTTATTCACTTCAGAAACACGTCATTGCTGTTGTGGAAGGCGTGACACTTGTGGCTGAGGTGTCCCTAAAGGTCCTGCAGGACGGTGATACCTACAGTGCCCTTCTGGAAATCACAGACAGGCTTCACGGTCGGTGTCCTTTCTGTTCAGTTGATGTGTCTTCAGGTAGATTAGTATTTTCCCTTCATGACTTCGTGAGATGAGTCTTCTTTGTGTCTTTCCCCCAGATGTTCTGGTGTCGCTGCCTGTCTCAGAGGCACCTCTGCAGCTCCACATCCACATACTGTGCGAGGCATGGTGGAAAAAGGACCTAAAGGAGAAAGAGAAGTTTGGTCGCACTGCTTTCTTCATCTCTCTGCAGAAGAGCTTCATTCTGAAGAAACCAGTCAGTATATGACCCCAGTAATATGTCCGATAAATCAATATTGGGCCTTTTTCTGTGGCCTTACGTTGTCATCATTCATCTGTGTTGTCAGGGTGCTGAGATCCAAAGAGTCTGGAGTCTCCATGATGTGCTTTTGAGTCTGGACTACACATCCGAAGATAACAAGCAGATAATCGACTTGTTGCTTCAGTGCTTTCACCGTCCTATTTACATTAGAAACGATGACGTGAGTAGAGTGATATTTATCCGCTGTGTGTGTGTGTGTGTGTGTGTGTGTGTGTGTGTGTGTGTGTGTGTGTGTGTGTGTGTGTGTGTGTGTTTCAGCCACTGTCTCTGTTTTCTTTCTCATTGTTGTGGCTTCGTCTTTGAGCTGTCAGCCTGATGTTGTGTATATTGTCACAGGGAAAGCGATTCCTGGTGTTTCTTTTCAGCTGGAACGTTGACTTCATCTGGGTTATTCATGGCACCATCAAAAACCAGCTGGAGTTTTATAGCAAGTGAGACCCTTGTTTTATTCAACTTGACAGTTGTCAATTTTCTCTTCGTATTATTTACTAATAAATTGCTTTCTTCAGGACCATGACTACTCATATTATGGAGATCTACTTCAGAGCATGGAAGAAGGCTAGTGGGGACTTCCTGGAGCAGATTGAGAGCTCATGCATACAGGATTTTATGCAGAATGCGATCTTCCTTCATAGAGCATCTCCTGTTCATGCCAAAGTCCGACAGGTAGACTCATTACCTTCAGTCGTGATGTGCATTCTGTTACTGTGTGTGTTTACTCTCTGGTCTCCTTGCCTTGAAATACAGATCGTGAGCTATTTCCACTCAAGGAAGGGCTGCAACAAGGTGGACAAGATGCTCTATGATCTCTACAGGCCATTCCTCTGGAAAGCTTTGACTGTACGGACACAGCTTTCTAACCGCATTCATGCTGGTATTTTAGGATTTTATTCTAGTCTAATGTGTTTTCTGTTTGATTTGTTCAGGCTCCAAACTTTGAGGTGCGCGCAAACGCCACTTTGCTTTTCACTGAGGCCTTCCCAGTCCACGATCCGGATCAAAACAACCAGAATATAGATGAGACCATTCAGAAGCAGCTGGACACAGCAATGGTAAGAACCTTTCAAACCATTCAACTACTTTTTGATCTCAAGAGGGGGCAAAATATCATTAAAATTAATTCTTGGATCTTGTAATAATGTGGACACAAACCTCAGAGCCAAAATTTCAACCACCTATCTGTCTCCCTCAGAGCCTTCTTGATGACCCTCATCCCACTGTGCGCTCCAATGCCACCCTGGGAGTCTGTAAGATCCTGGCTAAGTGCTGGGAGCTGCTCCCTCCCACAATCATCACAGACTTCCTGAAGAAGCTGGTGATGGAGCTGGCAGCTGACAGCAGCTCCCCAGATGTTCGGTGCTCAGTCTTCAAGGTAAGAGATGCCGTCTCTCTCTCTGTCCTGATGTATGTTGGTGTGAAGCCTCATATTGTTAGATTACTATTATGTAATCTTATCTAAGATCTAAGCTGCGAACATGTTTAAAAACTGGCAGTATTAAATCAAGTTATATTAGAAATGGCAATAATTAGGCATTCTTTTCCAAAGGTATTGTGATGCCAAATTGTAAGCATTATTGTCACTGCAGACATAATTAGCATGACAGATTTTATTGGCAGCAGGCTGGATATTTAATGACTTGTGGTTTGTGTAATGTTTTCCCCAGTGTCTGACTATTGTCTTGGACAACACTCTCAGCCATCCACTATTGGAAAAACTCCTGCCTACTCTCAAATACAGCCTTCATGACAACTCGGAGAAAGTCCGCACAGCTTTTCTTGACATGCTTATCAAGGTGAAGGCAGTGCGTGCTGCCAAGGTACTCTTTCTTTTTGCTTTATACATTGTTGGGTTGTTGCATG